TAACAAGGATCAGTGAGACACAAAATAGCAAACAAAAAGATTAATCAAAAATATAAAAAAATCAAAACACACACAAGAACAGAAGATATTTACATGCGTTCACCCTAGAACGGATTACGTCCATGGCTGTTGCAGCTTTAATTATGATCAGAAAACGACTACAGACTCTCTTAACCTCGAAAGAGGCGCCGCTTTTATCTATTTATAAGTAAGAATTAGTGCAATGGGACAGCAACATGAAAATTACCCTAAAACCCATTGACCCAAACCTCCCCTTGCGAGGAGGGCCCTCCAAAACCCCCTAATTGGAACCGAGTGAGTGAATAATATCATTAGCAGCGCGTCCACAGACCCAAAAGCCACCCCCATTATAAATTTGTATTTGCTTTCATTTTTTCAAATGCTTACTTGCTCCAAAAAAACCCCTAACCATATATTATCAAATGCAAATTAGTAAATGTTTTAAATTTAAGGAGGGATAATTTTTCTGATTCAATCTGCACTATTAGTAAATGTTTCAGATCTAATCTCTATTTGTGAAAATGCACAAGCTCAACAAAATGGTTAGCAGGATTTTTTCCACATTTGTTTAAGCAAAATTCATAAGAAAGAAATAGAAAATCATGGCATTTTTACAATGAAATGTATTGTATTTTTCTATTATTCCAATATTTTTCACATGTTATTCTTTTTTATCGTTCAGTCGGGTGTGTAACATTACAAAACGAGTTCTTCCATTTTATTTGTATACTACAAACTTCTCTTTGTTCCTCGTAGACTTCAAATTGACACCAGATGAATGTTAGTGAGGAAATGGTGAACGGATCTGTGGGGTTTTACGCTAGCCATTGTTTGTGTTAGAGGAATCTTAGATGACCAAAATAACTTGGAGTAGTGGGAGATTAACTCATCAAAAATTTAATTCGTTTCTAAGGAAGGGCCAAAAAGCGTTGGACAGCACTATGGGAGGAGTAATTGCCGAGGTGTTGGCTCTAGTTATTCATGATACTTGCCATAATCAGCTTGAAGGCATGTTTCTTTTTGTGCGAAGATTATTCACAGAAGATGTTAGAGATAGGAAGCCAGAGAAATTATGCCAAACTGTGCGATGGCCGAAGCGTTATCAATACCATCACCATGGAGGGATAAGGAAAAAAGGGAAGAAAGAACAATGATTGATGTGGCAGAATTGTTATTTGGATGAATTGGCACAGGAGATGCATACTTCAGGTTGCAGTCTAGAGGCGAGTAGCCCAATCAGGGGTACCAAGGAAGGCTTTACAATCATGCAAGGCTTCATACCTTATGCGAGACCTTCGTATGGCTTTGTTAAAGGATAGAAGAGGAATATTTTCTAAGGTCATATTTGAAGAGGCATAAAAGATGTAGCAACAACAAACTACTGGAAAATTCCATATCCTTCTTCTCATTATCATCATATAGTGTAGTCAAATACACAGATTCAATTGCCATTTA